AATCCTGAGTTCGAGCCCCGTCGGTCCCCTCCCCCTTTTTCCTTTCGAGACTGATAAATGAGTATCACTCTGTGAGAAAGAAACAGGGTGCTACACGCTATGTTTCCTCGTGTGATTGTGGACTCTTCCTTTAACACAAAGCAGTTCACACTGATCGCATGGAGACAGTGATCAACATCTCGCCATTAGCTTCATGAAAAGAAGGATGCCATAATTATCAAGAAATTACTGGGAGGGACGACATTCAGACAGCTACAGATGTTCCACATTTTCTTTTATGCTATATGAGCTGAACATGGTGGCCGGGGAAATGCTAAAATTTCACATCTTTGCTTACCCCTGCATATTCCTATTTAACATATATGTTTGACTTCAGCATGTTTGATCATTTGAACCTTCGTTAGTGATCGGCTTAAGACCAATGTTCGCGGAAAGCATATAGAACGTCATTTTTCTATATCTCTGAAGAGGGTTGGGAAATAATGATTCAGACTGAGTCAGACGTGTGAATGCCTGGAAGTTAATATGAATTTGGATTCCGGTAACTTTCAGTTTTCAAATGGTTGATCATGACGGTTGAATAATACCAAATAAAATGAGTGATGCGAAACGTGCAAAATCTGTTGGACGTTGCACCTTTCCTTGGAGCGTGACAACCATTTATATTTTCTTCTATGATTTGCGTCATCTGATTAGAATGCAGAATCCATTATGTGATTTTAATTCAGACATCACTTATGATATGACATGTGTCATCCCTTTCTAACCTGAAAATGTGCTGTTCTTTGGAAAATAAGAATTTTTTCAAACTGTTCGAAAACGGTTCAACTCTTGCGATGATCATAGGTGCTCCAAAAAACCATTTACTTTCATCAGATTTGTAGTTGTTGTGGGCGCTCTATGAAAGTAAGGTGATGCTTTTCCAATCATCTTGTTTTGAACGTTTTCTTGGCAGATGGTCATTTGGCAGTCCATTTGGGGTGCCAGCTATCATAAACTGTAAAACTTCCCCGTCCTTAAAACCTTTACTCATCCTAACAGATTTAAAGAATTTGCGAACTTAATGAGGTGTTTATCACGAACAGATATTATTGACGAATTTCGAGTAGCATCACGGTGTCTAACTTACCAGAGCAGAGTCCTGCATCACTTCCAGACTTACATTTCATCAAAAATCCAAATATCTGTGCTATGTCGAATTCATGAGGTTCTAGCTACAGCCTGAAGTTTTATAGGAAAGTTTAGAGAAATGGCTTGTCTTAGTTTCAGATTAATACTCACGCAATTTTCTGAAATAAAATACTCAATGAATAAAGATGCACAGTCTACTGTGAAGCATTCTTATTTAAATATGTGTGTTTGCTAATATCCTGTTCCGAATTTCCTCAGGGCAGCTTCGTTTGCCGAAGGTTGCTACTGCATTCTGGACAGTGAACAAAGCATGGATTATCTTACAACATATGGAAATGTAATATTATTTTTATTCTTTGTTACTACTCGCAGAGTGCTCTTCATAGCTGCTCTGTTATTTATTAGGTATCATCATCGCTAATCGCAGAGGACATACAAACGAGGCAATGACAAGCATGTGATAATTGAATTGTTTAAGTTTTCACTGCGTATTAGCCTATACGAATGAAATTCTGAATACAATTAAACGTAAGGATTTGTTGCCGCCAATTTACCACGTTTTCATGCCTAAAGATGGTAATCTGATGCACAGACTGCGAACTGTTTCGTAGGTCATGACCCTTCAAGTGAGGCAATGCAAATGATAG